GCTGCACAGCTCACAGTCAGCTGCTATCTCGTGTTGCAGTACGAATTCCGGGGTGGACAGAGGAAGATCGCTAAATATAGTCAAGTATCCCCCTCTGTGAAAGAGTCCACTCGATCGTCTGCCAACGCTCTGGGACGACCCCATGACTACGCTATTTCATCAGCGGTGGAGGCAAAGGACTCAACGCGGAAATGAGTGACGAAAACTTAACTTGCGTCTGAGGCACGGTTGCTGACGAAAACAAGTTGGATCGAGAAAGACAGAAAATACGCATATTCGAAGTAGCTTTTAAGAAAATGGCGGAAAAGTGATAAATGATATTTGCTAATGAAATGATTGATAACATTAAGCAAGCGGTTGGTATTTAAGCTTCCCTTGACAATCAAGAATTCTAGAACTGAGTCAACACGATTGCCCAATGTGAGGAACAAGTGTTCTAGGCATGAGCGAACGCTATGAAACATTAAAAATTAATATAAACACGTTGTGAAGAATTGGCGTTAGCAGCGATCGACAACTTACTCAATCTCTGGAGGACAAAGATGCTTGCTATAGCACAAACTATGAATATACAAGTCTTATATTTTGAACATCTTGTTCGCTAGCTTGGAGACTGTAGCACTTATTGAATCTGAAAACAGAATTATGAAAGCGACGGAAATGATGATATTAAGGCAAATAATGAGACTGTAGCATGATCTGTTCTCAAGTGCTGTTGTGAGAGCGAGACTAGAATATCCAACTAAAGTGATTGAGAAAGCTTTTTGAATGGTGGGGTCATTTGCCAACGAATGGACAATCTCCACCTGCCAAAGCTGATACTGAAAGCAAGACCTGATGGCAGGCGGAGGCCAGGAAGACTCCATCGAAACGTCGAAGGTGTCGAACTGACGTGACAGAGAAAGGGCTTAAGAACGAGCACGCATCAGATAGAATAATTTATACGGCACCTGACGTCGTCTTCGATGCAATGGAATGGGAAGAAGAAGTAATACCGTCAAAACTAACAGCAGGAAAAGCCATTCTCTTTCTTCAATCAGAATATCTTTGTGAAAGTCGAGGTAATTTTAGGAAGCAAAACAGATGTTCGATTATCAACGCGCGTGAGATGGCTCCTCTCGGGAGCACCGAAAACATGTTCTATGAAGATCCAGAAGCTTCTCAATACGGTAATTGTATGAAAATGAACAGCGAAAGACGCTGTTGCCATACATCTGAAAATTACAGGCGCAAAGTCTATAGCCGTGCCTGGAGAGCTCCACGGATTGTGGGTAGCGTTTACCAGGTTTCGCAGCGGGAAACTTGCCTGGAACCAGCTGCTGGAGCCCACCATCAAGCTGTGCTTCGAAGGATTTCCCAAAGCTCAAGGTCTGCCGGACTCAATGCAGTATGTGCAAGATTCGAAGCGATATGTTCAAGCGAACAACAGTTTGCAGCAAGCCCATCAATGATTGCAACAATAAATTGTCCCTTCTAATATATTTTAGTATGTTTTACAACGTTGCCAAACAGAGACCTTACAACGCTGGAGAAATTGTCAAGTGCCCTCAGCTTGGAAAGGCTCTCAAGGCATTGGCAAATGCTAAAAATCCGGTTTCACTGTTTTACAACAGTGCCCTTACCAGCAGTATGGTAAGCGAAATAAAACGAGAAGGTGAGAAATTTTTTGAAATGTAAGTTAGAAGTTTCGAATCTAAAATAAGAATAAGAAAATTGTCTAAGTGACACAACTCATGACAAAACTGTTAGAAGCTAAGATTGAAGGTAAAACGTAAAATATTACACGACTGCCATTTAAGAAAGTGCTGAAATGTTTTCACAGAATTTAATCAACGACAGTCTACTTTGTTGCAACCGAACAGGATATTGGAGAACAAACGAATAAGGTACATCCACGGTCATGAGTGATGACGATATGTCGGTCGGTTAGTAGTAGAATACGAAGTATAATGGTAGAATACGGAGTAGAATACTCAGAATTTATACTGATTACTTTATTTCATACTTGGGATCAAAACGATGAAGCTCCGACTCCGAATACCTATTAATTATTTCATTTTTTTCAGGAGGAATCTTGTCAGTGCAAGACTTTAGACAATATGCCGCTAAACTTGAACCAGCGCTTGACATGCAACTTGACAACGGATTGAGAGCGTGTGCCCCATATCCTCCAGCGTCAGGTGCATTGGTTTTGGGAAGCTTGAATATTTTACAAGGTAAGTGCGTAACAGGTCTGTAAGAAATGTACCGTAGCCTAGCCTACAATAACCTGGTAATCACGTTTTTGAGTGTATAAAGTTGGTTCATACGATTCATTAATTAAACAAAAATTTTGGTTCATAAATCTTGCAACTCATAACTGCTGTAGGACAAACTTTCACCGCGAATTGCATTTCTTTTTGTTCCTGGTTGGTTACCTAAGGGACGGGAGAGGGGAGGGTCATTCAAGCCGGACCGGACTCCATTGTATTTGAACTTCTCTAGTGCCAGATGCTTCTCGCTTCATTCTATTCATTAGGGCTCTCTCACGTTCATTAAGTACGACATTCCAGAAGTTGCTACTCGTTATATGTTGCTACATGAACATTTAAGTAGGTTCGTATGCCCGAAGAATGTTTCATACCGTACAGCTGTTCCAAGACCAAATCTCTGGACGTATTGCACCGCCCCCTAGCTCTCAGTTGCCCGAGGAAATATTTACGCAAGTCGTGGTTTCGTAGCCTTTGAGCACCTGTGCTAC